AGAAAACAAATGCCGGGGAAAAGTGATGAGGGAAAAGGGGGGGGGGGAAGGCCCGAAGGCCTGAGGAGATTCCCCTCAGGAAAACAAAAGTTCTTGTTCTTCTTTTTTTTTCTTTTTTTTTTAAAGAAAACTAAAGGACAAAATCAAACGGAGGATGATCCTAAGAAACAAAGAAATGAGGTAAAGGCCCGAAGGCAGTAATAGCTATCCGGTCAGGAGGAAAGGCAAAAAGGTCCTTTCAACGCGGCGGTAGAGAGAGAACTGGCGGGATGTCCGCGCCCGTCCCTCTGGGCATGCGCGCTGGGGTTCCTGCGCATGCTCAGTGGGACCCGCGCGAAAATCCTTTGAAACATAGCTTGCTACAGCACCGGTCGGGTCAGCGCAGGCGCACTAAACCCATTGGTGTGAAGCACAGAGACCACGAAGAAGATCCACTAGGCCATTCAGGTTTGATCACATCCCTAATTACTATACAGTGTAGGTGAAGAATAGGTTTAAGGGACTAGATTTGATAGACAGAGTGCCTGAAGAACTATGGACGGAGGTTCGAGACATTGTACAGAAAGCAGTAATCAGCACCATCCCAAAGAAAAAGAAATGCAAGAAAGCAAAGAGGCTTTAGAAATACCAGAGAAAACAAGGAAAGTGAAAGGCAAAGGTGAAAAGGAAAGATTTACCCAACTGAATGCAGATTTCCAGAGAACAGCAAGGAGAGATAAGAAGGCTTTCCTGAATGAACAATGCAAAGTAATAGAGGAAAACAATAGAATGGGAAGGACTAGAGATCTCTTCAAGAAAACTGGAGAAGTCAAGGGAATGTTCTGTGCAAAGTTGGCTATGATAAAGGACAAAAACGATAAGGACCTAACAGAAGCAGAAGAGATGAGGAAGAGATGGCAAGAATACACAGAAGAACTATACAAAAAAGAGCTCAATGTTCTTGACAACCACAACAGTGTGATCACTGACCTCAAGCCAGACATCCTGGAGTGTGAAGTCAAATGGGCCTTAGCAGAGGTGATGGTATTCCAGCTGAGCTATTCAAAGTCTTAAAAGATGATGCTGTTAAAGTGCTGCACTCAATATGCCAGCAAATGTGGAAAACACAACAGTGGCCACAGGATTGGAAAAGGCCAGTTTACATTCCAGTCCCAAAGAAGGGCAATCCCAAGGAATGTTCAAACTATCAAACAATTGCACTCATTTCACACGCTAGCAAGGTCATACTCAAGATCCTACAAGCTAGGCTTCAACAGTACGTGGATCGCGAAATGACAGAAGTACAAGCTGGGTTTCAAAGAGAACCAAGATATGTTATTTTGCAAACATCTTCACACTGATCTACAGGCTCAGCTATTTGTAAAGGGCTACACTTCCCATAGAAAGTACGCAGCTGAACAATAAAATGGTGGATAGTGGCACACTTGCAAAAGAGCCCTGGCATAGTCACAGACTAAAGTCATTCCTTGCTTCCTGATGCACCATGGGTATTTCTCTCTCTCCCCCCTTGATTGCACACCTTCCTCCATTTGACTAAGATGTGTCTTCTTCTTTATGCTCTTTTCCACACTCCAAACATTTCTATGGTGGTTTCAGGCTATGGGAAGGATGCAGCATCAGTTGCTAACCAAATTTCTCTCAACCAGGGCTTACAAATATACTTTAAACTCTGGCTAGGAGAGGAAGCATTAAACCTGATAACTGGCAGCATTATGACTGCATCAGGTCATATAGGTGTTCATATACACTTGCATTTCGGGAAGAGATGTTAAAAGGTACTCTTTGATATGAGCAAACAGCATTTCATTGCGAAGGAAATAAACTGGCAAACTCAAATCCATATCTCTGGGAATGCAGGCAAGCTTCTTAAGCCACCTTTCAGTTCCCATGTAACAATATGCTAATGCAAAGTCTACTGTTATATATGTAGTCTTTTGTGCTGCACGAATTTGCTTCCAAGGAAAACCAGTAAGCCTTAACCCTTCCCTGGCATGCTGCAGCTATGGCAGGCAGGCTGTAATGCATGTTAATCTGAGGCTCTTCTGTGTCTAATGCTGATGTACCCAACACAGCCAGTTCCTTCCCCAGTTTCCTGATGCACAGATTACTGTAATAGTTCTGGGAGGGATAGAGTTTTCTGGCTGGCTGAGTATAACTAGACTCTAACTGGTTAAGTGCAGAAGCAGTTTGGTTCATCTTGAGCTATACAACGTCTATGCATCCATATGCCCTGACCCAGATGGTCCAGGCTAGCCCAGTCTTGTTGGATCTCAAAAGCTAAGCATGGTCAGCCCTGGTTAGTACTTCGATGGGAGACCACCAAGGAAATCCAGGGTCATTATGCAGAGGCAGGCAATGGCAAACCACCTCTGCTTGTCTCTTGCCCTGAAAACCCTACAGGGTCACCATTAGTTGGCTGTGACTTGGCGGCACTTTCCACCACCATGCATCTGTGGGGGTGGGAAGACTTACATGTCTGGGGTCTTTAGGATCCAAAGAATCTATAGCTCTCTGCAAGTCTTCTAGCTCCTTCTCTTTTTGGGTCATTTCTTGCCTCTGCTTTTCCATCTGTTTCTCTAGTTCCACAGCTTCTTCTCGCAGCTGATTTAGGAGAAATATCTTGTTGCTCAGCTGTTCTCGGAGACACTCCTTTTCCGCTTCTGACATCTGGATGCAAAAAACACACCTAACTATGGCTGAGATACACAAAACATTCAAAGCCTTCAAAAGTTTAGATCCAGGTTTGTGCATTCAGTCCCATGCATCATTAGAAGTTTGACACAACAGCAGCCGATAGAGTTTACTCCAATAAAGCACACATGCATCCTGCGCTTCGATTTTTGATGGGCTGTAACTTAAGAACACAAGAACATAAGAGAAGCCAATGTTGGATCAGGCCCATCTAGTCCAACACTCTCTCACACAGTGGCCAAAAATACCAGGTGTCATCAGGAGGTCCCAGCAGTGGGGCCAGGACACTAGAAGCCCTCCCAATGTTGCCCCCCCCCCAGCACCAAGAATACAGTGCATCACTTGCCCCAGCCTGAGAGTTCCTATCTATACCTAGTGGCTAATAGCCACTGATGGATCTCTGCTCCATATGCTTATCTAATTCCCTCTTGAAGCTGTCCATGCTTCATGTCATTTCTAAAAGCTAAAGAGCCCCAAGTGTTTTAACCTTTCTTCATAGGGAAAGTGTTCCAGTTTTATCATTCTAGTTGCCCTTTTCTGCACTTTTTCCAATGCTATAATATCCTTTTTGAGGTGTGGTGACCAGAACTGTACACAGTACCCCAAATGTGGTTGCACCACTGATTTATACAGGGGCATTATGATACTGGTTGATTTGTTCTCAGTTCCCTTCCTAATAATCCCCAGCATAGTGTTGGCCTTTTTTATTGCATTTGCACACTGTCTAGACATTTTCATTGACTTATCTACTATGACTCCAAGATCTCTCTCTTGGTCAGTCTCTGCCAGTTCGGACCCCATCAATGTATATTTATAGTTAGGATTTACTTATACTGAGCAATACTGTTATCTATGAAAACACAAGAGGAAAAATCAAAACCCTATTTTTCGACGGAATGGTACATACACGCCTCATCTTGACAGTGTTTTATACCAAAGAGCCTAACAAATAATCATTTAATGCTAATCAAAATCCTTAAGATTTGAAAATTTTGCACAGAAAAACAAGCACACAGCTGTATGTCTGGGTCCTTTCAACTGTTTTGCTTAATTTTTAGATTGCTGTTGGTATATTGATACGTACTTTTTTCTGATCCATGGCATTTTGTACTTGGTTAAGTTCCTCTGCTGCTTTTAAAACACGTTGCTCTGAGCTGGCTATTTCATCTTGCAGTTCAGCCAGTCTTTCTTGGGCTGAGAAAAGGAAAACAGTGTTTTGGATGCAAAAATATACACAGGTGCTGCAGTTAGAAATGAAGTTTCTCGAGATAGAAAGTAGTGGCTATAACCACAGAAATATACAACAAGATGGTCCAAGGTTTTTTTTAAAATACCCTTTGTTAAAATACATGCTTGAATAAGCTCCCCAGCAAAGAAATAATGAACTAAGTTACCTGCCTGAATCTTCCCCTGTTTTTCCTCTAATTCTACATCAAGTGATTGATAAAGATTAAGCTTAAATTGCTGGATTTTTGGTTGCTCCTCCTGTTCCAGTCTTCCCACTTGCATTTTCTGGGCCTTATTGGGGATGTAACCTTCCATGGCAAACATATTCCTTTTATACCTGGCTTTCCCAATGTAAGGGCTTTCACTCGGTGCATTATCAAGTTCAACATCCTGAAAACATAATGTAAAGCTAGTCAGATTTTAAATTGGTTGCTAAATGATTTTATGAGGTCTCAACAACATAATTCAATGTGTTTTAAAAGGGTTATAATCATAATCTGTCAAATAACCCCTTTCAATGCTCATTTTACATTGATTTGCTATGTCAATTTGTGTAGTTGTAAGCAACTAATTTACAGAGCAATCCTATGCAGCCTAAGCCAACTGAAATTGTCTTTGACTAGAGTGACTTTGAGGCAAACCACACAATATGTTTCTTCACTCATTTACACTACTTTGCCCATGTTCCTTGCAGCCACACAGCAGCTGTGGGGATCCCCCCCCCCCCAAAAAAAGAAC